TTGTTTTTTCAAATAGAGTCTATGCAATCCAGGTTTACCTCCTCCTACCTCAGGCTTCTGAGTTATGGGCTTACAGGCATGCAATAACACCTGATCCACTTTCAAATTTAGCATCAGAAAAAGTTCTCTTGACAAGCCATTAACTTTCTTTTGCCAGATTAAAAACTGTGATTTATCTTTTCCCTTTTGCGTTAATTTCTGAATTAAACTTAAATAACCATATTAGTCCAGGCAAGCTGTATTTTTAGTTATATCTCTGTACACAAGAGTTTTGTTTACTTATATTTTAATAGTCTCATTATATGTGGAGCTTAAAGTAATTTGCTCAAATACTTTCCAAAGGCAGTAAGGATTATAAAGTATAAACAAAAATTTCTCGTAATGGCTTATTTTACTATTTATTTTAACTGGAATGTATATTATACAATCCAAGTGCTAGTTCTTAAAACCAAAACCAAACAATACAACAAGCCTTTAAAATGTATACAAAACTCTGTATTAATGAGCTAGATAGCTGTGTACATGGACAGGAACACAGGGGACCCAGGAGACTGAAACCAGCCCCACAAAGCAAAAGCAGGCCAAAGTTCAAGGACAGAGCAAGTTAAGTGAGAGACACTTGCAGAGCAGTGATATAAAATGTGCATGCTGCTCCCCCTTCGCCTCCTAGCAATAAAGACTGGAAACCTGAAAAAGAACAATATCAAAATAGGGGACACTAGAGCCACTTACACTGGCTGTAATAAGTTAGAGAAAGGGGACAGGAATGAAGAAGGGACTGTCGTCTTATCACTTTATTTTTAATAGAAAAGTTGTGTGCTCCTGTGTGCTTTATTTAACATGTTGCACACACACTCTAGGGAATCCTTGCCCTGGAGAAACGTTCATTCTATTGGGAGAAGGAGGCATTTAATGTAGTGGGCCACTATGAATGTACTTGAGGGAAGGGAAGTAAAACCAAGAAGCAAAGTGGTATATAGCTATGCATCTCAGTCAGGGGAGGCTGTGTTGAGTGGTAAGATTCAAGCAAAAATCTGAAAGAGGTGCAAGAGTTAGCCAAGCAGATTAGAGAAAAAGAACAATCCAGGCTAAAGACAGAGCGTGAGTCCTAAGGTAGAACTTGCCAGGCATGTTCAAGGAGCAGTGGGGAAAAGTCAGTGAAGGAGAAAGAGGAGCATCCAATAAAGCAAATCCCGAAAGATTAGGAGCCAGTGATACACAGCACAAGCCAAGGATTAGCTGAAGTCAGGGAGGATAACCTTCCTCAGGCTAGAGGCGAGGAAAGTAGGCCAGGGAGGTTTGTAAAGGGGAAGGGGAGGTTGAAAGAGCTCATGCCTTTTTTCCCTATGAGGTGGTAGATACATTTTCTGCTAAGCAGAGGCAGTGGAAGATCAAGCCACTGTGAACATCCTGAGAGGACATAGCAGACCTGCTTCAGCAAACATCAAAGTCAAACTGAGGGGCTTCATACTGCTGGTGGCACCCATCCCCAGCCCTATGTGAGGCTTCTCCATGAAGCAGAGTGAGAACGGAATGTAGAGATCATATGAATGGCTCAAGCTGGCATATGTCTAGTGGCCCTTCAGCAGAGTAAAGAACTTAAAACGGCAAATGTTGATATCTAAGAAAAAAGCTGGAGCAACGAACCCCAGACATCCCAGTATAGGTAACAGAGAGACGAAGAGCCTAGGGACTCAACATCGAATGCACAAGCAAAGAGACTACAGAAGTGAGAACTCTAAACTCGAGACCTGAACGTGATGACATGTTAGAAGATGTGACACAACAGTGACCAGAAAAGAACCCAGCCAGTGCTTGAGAAGTAAAGGAATTTTAAGGGAAGGGTAGTTTTTAAAGAAGTTCAGTACAGTGGTTACTCACCTAGATCTACTCATGGTCGGAAAGTTTAGCATGCTTTGGATTCTTCACATGAGAAAGAACTGTAACAGCATCTACTTGGCATGGCTGTCTATGAATTAGGTTAATAAATGTGCTTACAGAAGAGCCTGACATACAGAAACTGCTCAATATGAGTTCAATACCTTTCTCATTGCTGCTGCTACTGTTTATTTATAGTCGCTGACATCTGCCAAGATGATGTGAAAAATCTATATGAGGCTAGAGCCTTAGCTCAGGAGTAGATTCCCTAGCTCAGCATACTCAAAGCCCAGGGTCCAGTGCCTAGCAACACAAAAATAACAACAGAATTTGAATGTGAGGGAGAACTAAGCCAAAAGGTACCCAAGTTACCAAAGGGGAAAGTGACAGAAGACTATATAACTGAATGACAAGCTCTGCTGTAAACGACAGGACATGTTTGAAATGTAAAATTAAACTGAAAAGCTTTATGGGACTGGGGATTTAGTAGAGCACTTGCCTAACTAACAAGTTCAGTCCTCAGCTCCCCCAACCAAAAGAAGGTTTTGTATCTGAGAGATGCTTTTAGTCTTTGAGTATATGTGCCACCAAAGCAAGCACTGATTTTAGTCTTTTAACCTGCATCTCATATGCAGCCATAAATAATCATAAAACCATTAATATTATACAGCATGAGAGAGAAGAAAGGCTGATGAAAATCACAGATGCCTTCACAGAACAAGCAGCAGTACACTAACTGCATTAGAAGTAAAGGGAGTACGTTACCTGCAATGAGAAAAGGAGGAGTTTGAGAACAAATGGTAGGCCTTACAGTATCTGAGGATAAAGACCTGACTCTCTCTATGGGTCAGATTAACTCCTAACCACTATGAGAACAAACCAGTCACTGAGCTCTTAACAAAAACAAAACAACCTCTCGGCAGTCCAAGACCCCTTCTACACACTTCTCCTATCACAGCGACATCTGTTTAATGTCTTCTATCCTGCACCAAAATAAAGCTTCTAGAAGTATACATATTTATTCATTCTCTTATGAAGTTCCCTAGTCTACTACTATCTGTTCAAACAAGACCTCTTTCAAAGAGAACACTGTGAAATTGGAACAATACATCTTTAACTTCAGGGCACTGTGAATTGTATCACATCAATTTACAAGACCAAAGGGATATGCTCACTCTTGGGAAAGACTTGTCACAGTGAGTAGCCTGGGAAGGGGTTTACAAACAAGGCAGCAAGGAGTCATTGTTGTCCTTTATTTTGTACAAAGAAGACCAAAGCAGAGAAAAAAAAAAAAGGCTAGAAAGCTTTGGCCTTTGAAACTGTTGACAGACTTTTCTTGGGCAATAATTTATTCCCTGCACTAATTTAGTAGAAAAAAAGAAAACGTATTCATATCTGGTCTTGGAAAACAGTCTGTCATATGCCTTAAAAACTGTATTTAATTGGAGAAATTCTAGAAAATATTCAACAGCGAAGACCTATGCAGAATCAAGAAATCTTTCCTCCATTTCAGATTCATAATCAGGCCTAATTTTTCAAAAGCTTAAATTATGTTTAATCTCGGTTCTTTACATGTACTTAAAGCTATTTATTATTTTGATGTGAAATCATAAAACAAACATTCTGCATTTCTTGAATATTAATGTATTGCAAAACCCACTAACTTTAGTCTAGAGAAACAGCTCAGCAGTTAAAAGCACTTTTTGCTCTTGAAGAGGATCCTGGTTCAGTCCCCAGCACTCGTGTAGTGGCTCACAATCACCTGTCACTCCAGGTCCAACCCTCATCTCTCCTTAGAGGGCACCAGAAAAGCACATCGTGCACATACACATACACCTAAGCAAAACACTCATACACAAAAAATAAACAAATTAAAAAAAAAATTAGTCCGTTGAAAGTTTATTGAGGTTGCTTAACGATAAAAATTACAAAAAAATAGTGTGTTGATTTTTTCTTAGAAATAGAAAAACATTGGAATTTGTTTTTGTAGTTATTCTTAAGTAAACAGATAATTAAAATGTCTAACACGTCTAAGACCTGAGTTAGAGCTCCAGCTCCACCCACTGCCAAAAACAAATATATATAATAAATGAAGTTTAAAGGGCATAAAGAAGGCAGGAGCCATGCCATCTCTCCGGGTCCTGTGCACGATCAAAATATAGGAAAACACATTTACAGGCTCACTCTGAAGCCAGTTATTGATCACTTCTAAATCTACTTTAAGACATCAAGATGGGTCATCTTCAAAGCCTCTCCTCAAACAGAACATTAACAACTTCAATTACTTCATAATCAATACCAACTACCACACTTCTCAAATGAGAACGCAAGCTAAAATTTGGTTATGACTAAGCCAAATCCACAAAATGCCAACCTTTAAAGCAAATATCCACTATAATATCACTTTTAAACAGTTATTCAAAGCCGAACACCACTTTTCTCTGGGTTAAGCCAGGCACACCATGACACAAAGCAGCAAGCTTGGTGTTGGCAGAACAGCTGCTTGGAGAGCTACATAAGCAAGAGATCTGTTGACAATCTAATTTAGGCTACATCCAGATTCCACAAAGATGACAACCTGCATCCTCAGAGATACTGCTGCAAGTCTTCTCTGCTACCAGAATATTCCAGTTTACCTAATCTCTGCAGGTTGAGATACTATGCAAATCTATGCACGCCACGCAATACGCCGAGAGCCTCCAATATGGTACAGTGGCCTTCACACAGCAAAGGCATCAACAGGCCTTCGAGGGCCAAAACAGCAATGGATATCCGTGATAAGTACAGAAACACAGAATTTCACCCCAACGAGAACGGAATCTTCAAGCCAGTTTACCCTGGGGGTTCATATAGCAATTCACCAAAGAGAAAAAGTGATTTTGGAGCTCAATTTTGCATTTACAGTCAGTGAGGGTTTGCGTTGCATGAACAATGACTAGCTTGCGCCGAGCGGCCTCCCAACCCCCACAACTTGGCTTCTGGTGCGGCCAGTCACCCTGAAAGCTGCCAGGGCTGTCACTCGGTGCCTTCCAGCAACCGGACTTGGCTCCTAAAGGATTTGTCAGATCATCCTCCCAATATGGCTGCCAGAGTAATCCTGGTCGGCTCAACGTCGAGCCCACACCAGCCTTCCTCCCAGCTGGCCAGCATCCAACGAGCCCCCTCCCTCTGCATAGCTTCCTCCGTCCAGCCCTTGCGCCCTCCGCTCTGGCGGATGCCCTTTCCTACCTTCATCGGGCTCAGGGGCATTGCCACATTCCCAGTCGGAATCCTGATGCCAACCACAGTGGGGGGGGGGGGGTGGGGGAGCAGAAGGGGGAAGAGATCGGCTGGCTTCAAGCCGGGCAGGGCCGGCTCCCTCAGAGCTGCAATGTGCGCACATACGGCGGGACAGCGACGGATCTGCTGGCCCGCGGACAGAGCGGGGCCTGGCAGCCCCGGGGAAGCGGAGGGCTGGTGCAGGGCACTGCAGGGGACCGGCAGGCCGCTGGCCCAAAGCCCGGCGCTCGCGGCCGGCCAGCCAGGTCTCTCCACTGAGGGCGAGGCTCCTCACCGCGGACCCGGAGCCCCGGCCGGCCGCGCAGCTTCCTCGCTTCGCCCTCTCCAGGCCCGTCACCCGCCCGGAGTCCCTCCCGCAGGAGCGGCCCCCTTCATCGGCGCCGCGGGACCACCGCCCACCTCCCCTCGGCCGCCCCACCTCAGCCTCACCTCAGCCGCGCTGCGGACCGACGGGCCAGCCGGCCGAGTCAGAAGACGCCGCGGCGCGCAGGGGCGCGGGAGGCCGGGCACCGACGCACCTCAGCGCAGGCAGCGGCCGCCGCGAGCCGCAGGGCGCCGCTCCGCAGCCCCATCACGCGGCCGCCCAGGTCTGCATCGAGGATGGGCGGGAGGCCGGGGCGCGGCGGTGGATGCGGCGGAGGAGCAGAGAGAAGCTCGGACGCGAACTGTCGGCTCCCAGGACCACTGCCGTCTGACTACACCGCGTCGCTGCTCGCCAAACTCCGCCCGAAGTCGCCGGCGCGGGACACCGCCCCGAGCTAGAGCGCCGCGCGTCACTTCGGCCGGCCCAGCAACCGAGACCGACGCGGAAGATGACCAATCGAGATGAAGATCTTGAGACAGATAACCAATAGTGAAGCGAGTCTGGAAGAGGGGGCGGGAGGTGCTGGAGGAGCGATGGAGACACTCGAGCGCCCCCTGGTGGCACGGGAGCCGATGAGGGTGCGGGCGCGGGCGTGCCGAGTGGGCGAAGCCGGTGTCCAGAGTTCCCTCCCGGATGATCCCCCTCCCCTCCCCAGGGTGTTAGTGGGTAGCAGCGGCGTTTGTGTAGCCGAATGACCCTCTTTGTAAGGGGACAAAAAGTGGCTAAGTGACCCGGCGGGACTGGACGGTCCAGATGCCATCCGAGAGCTGGGATTACGAGGGAGCGGCCGAATGTGGAGTCATTGTCCGTTTGGAAAACAGCTCACGGTGAAGCCACCGAACCCGGCACGGTGGGAACGGAACCTCGCTCAGGCATGAGTGTATCCAGCAGAAAGCTTCCGAGCCTATTCTTGTCGAACCCCAGCACAACACCTCCCACACGCCACCTTGGGAGAAAAGGAGGAATGAGTAATGGGAAAGCATGACTTAGTGGGCATTCAGCGTCTCCTTGGGAGATGGCGTGCTGGTGTGTGAGCAAAGGAACAAAACGCTTTGTATTGCGCCCAGTGAATGGACTGAGCGGCCTGTGAGAGATGCCCCTAGAGGGGGTTACCAGGACTCATAAGAACACAAAAGCTCTACGAGCCATGTTTTTTAAAAATCAGATTTAGGTTCAGCTCAAAAGAAAAGCCCCACAGCTGTTCATAAGCAGCTCAATTCAGTGCTTAGTAAAATATCACAATGACAACCTGCCAATCACACTGCATTTTAAGGTTAGAGGACGTGTTTTGGATTTAGAGTGATTGAAAAATAAGATTTTTTTTCCTCATCCCTGACTTTAATACAGTATTATTGAGTAGAGAAAGGCCTACACGCTAAAACATGAAAATTAACTTTCTATTCTAATGATTCTGGACAATCACTATGTCACTGAAGTTCCAGACTCCCATTATTCCACATTTATTGGATACTTATTGTGTTTATTTATTTGTTTGTTTGTGTTTTTAAGACAGGACTTTGGTAGCTCAGACTCTTCTAGAACTCACTAAGTAAGTAGACAAGGCTGGCCTGAAACCCACAGAGACCTGCCTACCTCTGCTTCGTGACTGCTGGGATTAAAGATGTGTACCACTAAGCCCAGCTCTCATTTTATTTAGAATTTATACTTCACCTTCCCACAAAAGGATTTGACGTAATTTATACTGAAATATACAAGGAATAAAATTGCTTAAAATATTAGAAGCAACGATTTGAGGGGAGGTCAGCCTGGGCTACAGAGAGAAACCCTGTCTTAAACAAACAGGGCCGACCTTGATGGCTTAGCGGATAAAAGTGTGTCTGATGAGCTAAGTCCCATCTCTAGACCCCGTGTCAAGATGGACGGTGAGAACCTACTGAACACAGTCGTCTTCTGACACAGACACACCTCAAACACCCACTGTACCGTAATAATTAATTAAAAGTTGAACAGACATTAATAAAATAAATAAAACAAGAAGTTGACCTGGAAGTGTGACTAAATGAGGGGCGCTCTTGTTTAGCATATGGGAAGCCCTGACTTCGGTTCCTAAAATGGAGGAGGAGGAGGAAAAGGAGGAAGAAGAAGAGGAGATGAATCATCAGCCAGCATAGGGAAATGCTCGCTGATGGGTTTGCACGGGAGCAAGAGCTTCTGACCTGTACACATTGTATGCTCAGAAAGCTAGGAGAAAGCACTTCAAAGTTTCACTCTAAAGGATTGTTTGAGGAGAAGCTAGAGAGATGTATCTGTAGGTAAGGGTGCTTTCTGCTTTGAAAAGGCCCTGAGTTCCCAGTACCCACATTTGGGCATCTCACAACCACCTGTAACCCAGCTCCAGGGGGTTCTGAGATCTCCAAGGGGACTGGCACTCCTGTGCACATACCAACACATAGATACACACGTACATATAATTTTTTAATGAAAAGATAAATCTTTTTTAAATGTTTAAGGATATAAATATGCTATATCTGACTTAAATATTATTCAATGTGTATGTTTCCAAACATAGTATGGCATCCTCATTTAATATATACAATTTTTACATCCTCATACATCATAGAGTTTTTAAAGAATTATTTATGTATATGAGTACACTGTAGCTGTCTTCAGACACACCAGAAGAGGGCATCAGATCCCATTACAGATGGTTGTAAGCCACCATGTGGTTGCTGGGGATTGAACTCAGGACCTTTGGAAGAACAGTCCGTGCTTTTAACTGTTGAGCCATCTCTCCAGCCCCATCATAATGTTTTTTTAAGCAAATAAGAAGCTAGGAAGAAAAGCCTGTTTGAATCAGGAATGATAGGCATGCCGATAATCTTACCACTCAGGAGACAGAGTCGAGAGGATCTCCACAAATTGAGAACCAGCCTGTGCTACATATAGAGTAAGCTAGCCAGGGCTCACAGTGACACCCTATCCCACAAAACCAAACTACCAATTAAAGAAACAAAAACAAACTGTTTCTGCTTGAGGAAGCAGAATTCAGAGAAAGAAGAATATCAAAAAGCTAGAGTCAGGGAAATAGGCTACCTCTGAACATAGATCTCATGTCTCAGCTTCCTGAAGGCCAAGACAAGCCCGAAAGTGTGGTGACTTAGTAAACACAGCTCCATCGGGTCATGGGAGACAACACCCACTTAAATTCAAGCTTAGTGCTGTGAGTTTATCAACCCCTAGATGGTTTGAACCCTCAATAGAGCTCAATCTAAAAAGAATCTCCGTGGAGGTAGCAGGGTAGCAAAACCAGACACATCAATAGAAGCAGATAAGGCTACTGTATACCACAAGGCCAAATAACCTGCTATGCAACCTGAGCTTTTGATCCTCTGATAAGTGAAAAAGTCACCCTGCACAGTCATTCAATTGCTCAGTTAACAGATTTTATGTAAAAGAACCTCTGTAAAATCACACATTACTGTGAGAGTGACTACAACGTGGTCTGATGGGGCTACCCCTGAAATAACAGCACAGCGAAAGTGAGAGGAAAAAGCTGTTTGTCCCGAGTTAGAGTCTCTATAGCAGCACACAGACTATAGAGCTCTGTTGTGTGTTCACGAGGACACACACACATGGAACTGGGATAGAAGAGCCGGATACATGCATGTCTGTGGGAGTATGACATATGACAGCAGCAGCGTGAAGAGTCAGCCGGCCAGTGTTAGCCCATAAATGATAATGGGATGCTGGGATGATTGACAGGATGTGACAGAGTAGGGCGTGGTGGTGCAGACTCACTCTGGAGGCTGAGGAAGATCAGGAGTTCAAGGCCATCCTTGAGGACAGAGGACAACATAGGCTACATAAGATTAAATCTCAAAAATCAACAACAGCGACATGTGATTTTCTTTATCCCATATAAAACAGAAATTCAGGTAGATTAAAAACTTAAATAAAAGTGGGGCATAGTGACACATGCCTTTAGCCCCAGCACTCAGGAATGCAGAGGCAGGTGGACCTTTGCGAGTTTGAAGCCAGCCTGGTCTCCAGAGCGAGTTTCAGGATGGACAAAGCTACAGAGAGAGAGACCCTGCCTCGAAACAAACAAACAAAAACCAAAATAAAACAGAAACAAAAAGATTAAAAACTTAAATCAGAAAAGTCAAAGCTTTAAGCATTTTACTAGAAAATACAAAAAAAAATTTTTTTTTTTGTGACTTTGAAATAAAAAGCCTTAACAGACCATAAGCACTGACTGGTGAATTCTACCACATTACAACATCTACACAGCAAAAGGTAAGTGGAGGTGCAAGCTGGGGTCAGGTAAGGAAGTTCATGCCTGTAATTCCAGACTCTGGAGTTCAAGGCTGTCCTTGACTACATAGTGAGTTCAAGGCCAGCCTGGGATAAAGGAAAACTTGCTTAAAAGAAGGGAGGAAGGAATGAAGGAAGAAAGGAAGGAAGAAAGGAGGGAGGGAAGAAGGAAGGAAGGAAGGAAGGAAGGAAGGAAGGAAGGAAGGAAGGAAGGCAATTAGGAAAAGAAAAAGAACTTCATATTGTTACAACATTTGTATCAAGTAGGAGGAAAATATGCAGGAGGACCATAGTCCCCAAATTCAGCATGAGGTTACCCCAGAAAAGACAT